GGCCACTGAGTCACTCAGTCTCTTCATCACTCAATTGGTAAATTGGTCATTCATGTGATCACTTACTCAGTTACTCAATGAGTAACTCTCTTGGTCACTCATTTGGACACACGGTCACTCACTTTGTCACTCGGTCATTCCCTTGGTTTCTCTATCACTTAATCAGTCACTCTACTCAGTCACTTGGTCAATCATTAAAATACTCAGTCACACTCTTGGTCACTCATTTGGATACTTGGTCACTCACTTGATCACTTGGTCACTCACTTGGTCACTTGATCACTCAATCAGTCACTTCACTCAGTCACTCATTCACTTGGTCACTACCTCACTCAGTCAGTAACTCACTCAACTGCTTGGTTACTCACTAGGTCACTTGATCTGTCAGTCAAGCACTTAGTCACTCACCCTTTTAGTCACTTAGTCACTTACTAAGCCTGACACTCAGCCACTACACTAACTGTGTCACTCAATCAGCCACAAACTTACTTAATCACTGACTCTCATTGTCATTCATTGAATCACTTGGTCACTCAATCGGTCACTGAGTCAATCATTATTCACATAGTCACTAACTCACTAAGTCACTCAATAGGTTACTCAGTCACTCAGTCACTAACTCACTATATCACTCAATAGGTCACTCAGTCACTCAGTCACTAACTTAGTCACTCTGTCACTCAATAAGTCACTCAGTTTTGGTCAGTGAGTGGGTCGATTGGTCACTCACTCAATCACTTACTCATTAATATACTCATTCACTCTCTTATTTGGTCACTCATTCGGATCCTTGGTCACTCACTTGGTCACTAACTCACTTGGGAACTCTGTCCCAAACCTGGTCACTTACTCTCACTCACTTGTTCACTGACTCACTTGGTCTCAGTCTCTTGGTCACTCACTAGGTCAATTAGACTATCACTCAATCACTCACTCAAACACTCAGTTACTTACTCTGATACTTGGTCAATAACTTTGTAACTCACTTTATCACTCAATCCATCATTCATTCAGTCACTCGGTTACTTACCTAGACACTCACTCACTAACTCACAAACTCAATCACTTATTCAGTTAGTCACTGACTCAATGGGTCACTCAGTCACAGTCTCTTTGTCACTTACTAGGTCAATTGATCACTCATTGGTCACTCTCTTGGCCACTCATTTGGAGACTTGGTCACTCACTTGATCACTTGGTCACTCACTTGGTCACTAAATCACTTACTCAGTTAGTCAGTCACTCACTTGGTCACTCATTCGGATACTCAGTCACTCTCTTGGTCACTCATTTGGACACTTGGTCACTATATGGTCACTCGGTCACTCACTTGGTCACTTGTTCACTCAATCAGTCACTCTGCTCAGTCACTCATTTCTGTCACTTGGTCACTTAATCAGTCACTCAACTCATTCACAGTCACTCATTCATTTGGTCACTACTGCACTCAGTCACTAACTCTGAAAGTCAGTCAATACGTTTGTGACTCACTTGATCTCTCAATTGGTTTTTTGATCACTCAGTCACTAATTAACTCACTCACTCACTCGCTCACTCAACCTCTTTATCACTCACTGGGTCACTTGAACTTTCACCCAAACACTATCTGCTCCTGACACTTGGTCACCAGCATAGTGATTCTTTCAATCCCTCACTTACTCGGCCCCTCATTTGGTCACCCAGTAACCCATCACTATGTCACTTGGCCATTCACTCGGACACATACTCGTTCGCTCACTGCCTCACTCATTCACTCACTCACTGATTTATTGCCTTGCTCACTGAATGACTCCTTTAGTCTCTGTATCGTCCACCAACACACACAAACACACACACACACACACACACACACACACACACACACACACACACACACCCCTATATATACACAGCACACACATACACTAAAACACACACACACACACACACACACACACACACACACACACACTCCTATATATACACAGCACACACATACACTAAAACACACACACACACACACACACACACACACACACACACACACACACAGTCTTAGCCCCCCGCTCTCTTCCTCTCCCTTTATCTCTCTCTCCCTCTCTTCCTCTCCCACACCCTCATGCTCTCTCTCTCTCTCGTTCTCTCACTCTCTCTCTGTCACACACACACACACCTGCAGCTGTGTGGTTTTTCTGTATGTCCAAAAATGGAAGTTTTACAGGAATAACACTTCAGCTGCCTAATAGATGCTTATCAGCAGGATTAACACACTACACTACATGTAGATCTACTCTAACTGTACATTTCATTAAATACACACTAAACTCTCAGTTAACTCATTTACTCTTATGAATAATACACTGAGAAAACTATACTGAAGCAATGATTGAAGATTCTGAATTGGTTATTGTTGTCAAACTGTTATATTGTAATTAATTTGAGAAAATTAAATATTGGAGTGTAAACATACATAGCTGGGTGTCTTTTGTTATGTCTAATGTAAGTATACTTGAATTTGACACAATAATCCTCATGTAGAACACTGCATATTTCACTCACCCCTTCGAGTCAAGTCATTTATTTTAGTGATGTATCTGCGGTCGATCTCCTCATAGACTGCCTCAGTCAGAGTCTTACGCCTCCTCATAGAGAGCACTGTGAGGGAGACAGAGAGAAACATGGAGCCAGTTCAGTAGAAGAGAAGACTGATGACAGATTGAAGGACTAATGATGTTTAGAGAATGTACAGAAAGTGGATTGTAGCTGATCTCTGAATCTCTCTACCTCTCCTGAGCACTCTGTTCTGGTAAAACAGCACAACCAGAAGCACTAAGGCCAGGAAGAGCACCACTCCCAGAACCAGGAGAGACACTGGATAGATGGACGGAACAGCAGGACGAGGAGTGGTTCTCTGTGTTGGCTGACCAACTGCATGTAAAAATACAGAACATAAACGTAGATCATTGAAACAATCTTTTCAGAAATAATTTCAAAAATGACCTAAGACAAAAAAAGTACCTGTGGTGGTGGAGGTGGTGGTTGTAATTATGGGTGCTGTAGTAGAAGGTACAGATGTGTCTGTAAATACAGAAACAAAACAAAAGCTATACAAAACAACAAAGGATAAAATAAAACACAAACATACACTCACTAAAGTTAAGTTGGTGTTAACTGGCAGTTCTGATTATGACTTCTTCCAATTTAAGTGCTGTAAATGTCAAACCAGCATTAGACAACATTAAGAAAAGTGCATAAATCTGCTTTGCATTGTTGCCTTCCAGATCATTAACACTGGGATGAATGTGAGTTGATTCAGTCAGAAACTCCAAAATCCAGCAGAGTCCTCTGACCTGCACAGGTGACTCCAGCGTCCTGCCTGTGGGAGCAGTCAGTGTGGTTCTTCAGGGAATGAGGACAGTCCCACAGGTGAATCTCATTCCCTCTACACTTCACTCTGTTCAGCCAGATAGGCCCTTCACCAGCACCAAAGACAGCACTCCCATCAGCACTCAGCGCTGGCCCACAGCCCATCTGCCTGCAGACCACCTGAGCATCCCTGATGTCCCACAGATCATCACAAATGGAGCCCCACTTAGTGTTGTGATACACCTCCAGCCTCCCAGAGCAGCTTCCCTTTCCGCCCTTCAGCCTGAGAGGCAGGTGATCTACATCACACATGAGGAGATATAGCAATGCTGATTAACCTCACAGAAATAGACTAATGCATCTTAATATTATCATTAAATAAACCTTACCTATTTAGGAAAAGATTCTATTCATGTTTCACCCAGATAACTTCTCACATGCTGTTGTGCTCAGGATCAGTTCAGGTACAGGTATAGTGCACTGGCTACTTAGCAAAATACTTTTGAAGAAGTTAGATAAGCCTTTGATTTCATATAGTCCACCCATTTGTGCTGCCTTTCCGTATTATCATTACTTGAGCCCCTCTCATAATTCACAAAATAACAATTATTTTTTCTTCATGTATTAGGCAATAATAAGATTTGGATAAATATGTTAAGCTTGACTTCTCAATCAAGCTTAAAAATATAAAAGGAGGATGTTCACTGACAGTGACAGTGCATTTCTTTACACTAAAAAGGCATACATTAACACATGACAGAATTAGTGGTCTTACTTGAGCACTGCTTCTGGTCAGGAGATAAAAAGCATGCCTGATAGGTACGTAGTGGATTTCCATCATCTGTGGTAAGAAAAAACAGTTGTCACCAAATATGTAAAATCCAAATTTATCTCTCAGATATCAGCTTGGAAGCCTTATTATTTTCCTTCATTAACTTCTTTAGCAAAATAATTTTTGCCCTGAAACATTTCTGATCATGGCAACAAATACAACCTTCTCAAACTGTAGAAGCAATGACTTACCTGAGCAGGTAATGCGAGCCACATCATTGCGATTATCACATGTGTTTTGTCTCCAGGGCGACGCTGGACATTGCCACAGAGTGGAGTCATGTTTCCTACATTTCAGATTATCTAGCCAGTTAGGAGCTGATTCCACTCTCGCTTTAGCATCCCTCTCACTGCCAGATCTTCCACAGTTCAGCTCCTGACAGATCAAACTAACTGTTTCTTCAGTCATCCCATTTACACACACATTACCCCAGGTTCCATTGTAGAACACTTCCAGATTTCCCTCACAGCCCTCAGTGAGTCTGATCTCTTTAAACTCTGGTGGGAGAAAAAACAGATTTTAGTCAACAATTAGCATACTCCTGAATATAATCATGTATATTGGCTACTATTCCCCAAAAACAATAATTAATACATTTTTACCTTTTAATATATTTACCAGTCTACAGAATGGCAAATTCACCACAAATGATCTGTATCTACAGGACTGAATACTTTAGAATAATTTTGCAATTCACTACTTTATTGTAAAGTCTAAACATTGCTAGTGTAATTAGCAATTAGTGATTAGTACTACTATAAATTTAAAGAGTCTATAAAGTACAAAGGACTGAAATGTTCAATGTCACAGTAGCATGGATTACCTGAACACACGACTCCTACATCATCCTTGTGTCCACATTCATCCTCTCCACACAGCTGAAATCTGCAGTTCCACAGGGACGTCTCGTTCCCCTCACACTCCACCTCATTCAGCCATATGGGTCCAGTTCCAGGTCCAAAACGGGCTGGTACCAGAGCGAGGGCCACTCCACACTGCAGCTGTCTGCACACCACATGCGCATCCTTAATATCCCACAAGTCATCACTCACTGTCCCCCACGAGCCGCTGTGGAAAACCTCCAGCCTTCCTGCACAGTCTCCCCCAGAACCAACCAGCCTGATGGCTACATTAAAATCCAAAACACACAAACACCTCAATCAACATGTACCCCCACATATAAGCACATTGATTTACTGATTTGTGAAATTGATACATTGATTGACTGATTTATGAACATATCTTCTATGAAAAAGAACACATGATGGAATCTTATTCTTCTTTCTTCTTATTCTTACTCTTCTGACTGAAAGTACCTTTATGATCATTATTAGGTTGTATCTAAATAAATAAGGACACATTTTAGTTTTCATTTTGTTAGCAGTGTTTTAGTGTTTTATTACTTACCAGAGCAGGTGATTGAGAGCTGTTCTCTGGAGCTGCAGTTGACTGCTTGTGCGCTGCTGCAGTTCCCCAGATGAGCTTCACTCCCAGAACAATTGAAACCCGTCACACACATGTGTCTGTGTTCAGGACTGGATGTAGAGGAGCTGGAGAAGCTGAACACAGAGCCACAGCCCAGCTGTCTGCAGACCACAGAGGCCTCAGACTCACTCCAGGAGTCCAGCAGAACTCTCCTCCAGTCCTTCCTGAAGTACACCTCCACCCCCCCCACACACTCCATCCCTCCAGACAACTGCACTCGCCCCTCATGAAACGCCAGAGAGGAACCTGAAGAGGAAAATAATCAATTACTACAATGTTTTCTATTTCATTGAAGTGTGAGTAAAAATACCCACCTGTTTACTAATGTTATTGCAATTTTTGGGAGCTCACCACTACAGATGACTCCAGCATCCTGTTTATGAGAGCATGCAGTTCGACTCCATGATGAAACGGGACATTTTGTCAGGTGTGTTTCGTTCCCATGACAATCAAACACATCAGCCCAGATCCGGCCACTTCCCTCCCCAAACCAGTCTGACCCCAACACAGCAACAGCACTCCCACACTTCAGCTGACCACAGAGGACACTGGCAGCTCTCATATCCCAGCTTGCATCACACACTGTGCCCCACTCACTGAGGTACTGGAGCTCCACTCGACCAGAACAGGAGTCAGAGCCGTTCACCAGCTGAGCCCCTGTGTGTCAACAAAAAAGTTCAAGCATAGTAAAACAACAGATTACATGTAAGATAATGGTCAAATACAAATCAGTCATCACCAATGATATTGTACATACCAAACACAATAAAATATTTTACAAAAACAATTCCAAAAACATTAGGAGAGTAGGTAAAAAGTAAATAACAACAGAAAGCAATGATTTATAAATGTACTTTGACTTGTTTTTGAATGAAAACAGTATAAAGATAAGACATGCATTGTTTTACCTGATCAACTTCATTGCTTTTTGTAAGTTTACTTTTTGTAAGTTAATTCTGAATTTGATACCTGTAGCACATTCCAAAAAAATTGGGATGGGGCAATTTAAGACTAGAAACATTAGCAAGGACAGGTTGAGAGAAAAGCATCAGTAAAAAAAAATCCAACAGCTTAAAAATAACATTACTCAGCCAAAGACTGCAAGGATTTGAGATATTTCACCCATTACAGCGCATTATATCATCAAATGATTCAAGGAATCCAAAGAAATCTCTGTGCATACAGGACAGGACCACAATTGAATGCCAGTGAACTTCAGCCCATCAGAGGTCACTGCATTAAAACCCAGCATGTTTCTGTGATGGATATCACACGTGAGCTTGGGAATGCTTTGACAAACAATTGTCAATAAACACAGTCCATTGTTGGGTCTACAGATGTAAGTTAATGCTGTACAATGCACAGTGGAAAAGTCAGTAGTGTCCAGAAATGCTGCCGACTTCTCTGGGCTCAAGCTCATCTGAAATGGACTAATGTACAGTGGAAACACTTATTGTATTCAAAAAGTTAAAAAGCCAGCGTCTGTCATGGCATGGGGTATTAGTGGGTGATCTGCACATCTGTGAAAGCACGATTAACAGATTTTAGAGCAACATATGCAGCCTTCTCGGCAACAGACCAATTCTGTTTCTTATTTTTACCCCTACCCCTTGTTTTTGAGTGTCACCTTGCCCCTTGGAACCGTGTTACACGAGGCAAATGGGACAACCCTAAAATAAAAAAGAACATTAACAGGTAACTAGTGGTGCTCTGTAGGCGACCCTGCCAGTCTGCAGTGACAGCAGGGGAGGGTAAAGTTCAGCAACCTCGCTGCTGGTCTTTAGTTAAATTTAGGGCATCATATGCCTTCCAAAAGAGGGGGGTGTGACAATTATTTACTGTCCCCCTCATTTCTTCCGCGATATGAAGTTGAAGTCAGCTATTCGCCAGCTTCTTGTTCAAATTTTCCTGTTCCACCTTAAATGGTGCAGCAGTTACATTCCGGCACCTCAGGCATCAGGACTGCGATTCGTGATGGAATGGGAAATTTAGCTAACTAGCTACCGAGACATCAGCATACTACTAGCAATTTTTTAATGCTTATGTTTATGCCATGTAGCCACTAATTCTTGCCCTACCCCTCTATCTCAACAAAAATCAGGACACCCTACACCCTAGATGTGAATGCGCAAAACAAAGAGATAGGGCTAAGTGGTACGGGCAAGGGGTGAAATGGGATTGGGCCAACATCTTTTTCAGGGACTTGCCATGCTTATTTTAACATGACAATACAAAGCCATATTCTGCATGTTACAACAGCATGCCTGCATAATTAGAGAGTGTGGGTACTAGACTGGAAAACCTGAAGTTCAGAACTAACTGCCATTTGGAAATATGTGTCTTATTAATTTCAAAATACGACAACAAAGGGCCTGTACAGTTGCACAGGTGAAGACTTATACAACAGAAGAATGGCAAAAAATTCTGCTTTCAAAACTGGATCAGTTGGTGTTTTCAATCCTAAATGTTTATAAAGTGTTCTTAAAAGGAAAGGTCCCGTAACACAGAGGAAAAAATGCTCCTGTTCCAACTTTTTTGGAATGTGTTGCAGGCATCTAATTGAGAATTAGCGTATACTTACACAAAACAAAGTTCATAAGGTCAAGCATAAGATATTGTGATTTTGTACAATTTTCAATGTAATAATAAGTTAAATAGAATTTATTAATCACTGCTTTATGTTTTTATTAGCATTTCACATACTGTCCCAGCATTTTTAGAATTGGGTTTGTAGTTTAATGAGAGTTCAAACATTTATACAAACCAGAACATATAAGTCCCACATGGCTGTCAAGGGAGCAGTTGTGTTTGAGTGAAGATGATGTTGGACAGAAGTAAATCTCAGATTCGTTTCCTCTACACTGAAGCTCCTTTGACCACACCTGACCCTCCCCTCTGCCAAAAGCAGCTGCTCCCAGCACCTCCACAGGAAGCCCACAGCCCAGCTGCCGACACACAACCTCTGCATCATGCAGGTCAAAGCCAGCATCACACACTGTGGACCAGGTCTCTCCATAAAGCATCTCCACTCTCCCAGAGCACAGATGAGGACCACCAATAAGTCTGGAGTTTTCATGATCTGTGTGTGATTGAATTACATTAGGACTGCACAGAGCTTACAGAACATAGTCCATTTGCAGATATTAGACACCTAATAAAACTGATAATAGTGTATAACAGTGGATCTTAACATGTCTGTATTAGCCTTCTTGCAAGTTTTGTTCCTCTCCTACTTTTTAATATTCTTGAATTATGTTATAAAATGAGGACCAGAGTATTTAGATGGGATATAAGCTTTCATCATTAATATTTGTCTCACCACATTCCAAGATGAGCTCTAAGATGTACAGAGATGGAAGCAAAGTTTACTCATTCACTAATAGGGATGCTTTATTAAAGCTGCCAGTTGGAAATAGCTCAATAGGTGTCCTGATTAACTAATAAAAAAACTGACAGTAAAGACATGATGATATTAACTCAAATTCCTTCCTAAAATTTTGATTTCAGTTTATGTGCAGAAGAACTCACACACACAGAGTAGGTAGCTGGTGCTGTTTCTTCACTCTGTCAGTTTTCCTGCATGATTCCCATTAAAGTGAACAGCCTGGGTGTTATTTTACATGTTATACATCTGTCTTTAAACACTTCAGAGTTTGAGTTTATGATGTTTTTCAGTTTTATTTCTGCAAAAACCTGGACTATGAAAAATCCAAATTTGAAACATATTATAAGGGTACATTTAGAGCTAAAGTGAAAACAAATATTTATTTTTACTGATAATTCTACATTGTTGTCTATTATTATTAGTGACACATGTTTGTTTTTTAGGAGTGATGTCAGCCTACCTGAGCAGATGACTCCAACATCTAGATCATGAGAAGTACACACAGTATTATAATTTGACGCAAATCCACAGTTATTCAGTGTAGACTCTGATCCACTACACTGCACATATCCCATCAATATTGGTCCTGTTCCTGGACCAAACCGAGGAATATCCCGAGCATTTCCACAGCCCAGCTCTCTACACACCACTGCAGCATCTGTCATATCCCATGCATCCCAAACACCTTTATCATAATTACACACTGTTCCCCACTGATTATTGCGATAAACCTCCACTCTCCCAGCACAGCGACTGCCCCCACCCACCAACCTCACACTGTCTGTACAACAGAGAGAGAGAGAGAGAGAGAGAGAGAGAGAGAGAGAGAGAGAGAGTTGTAATGTTTCATTTTTTTAAATAATTAATAATCTCATAACATAAGCCCATTTAGTTCACATTAGTTAACAATTATTTTTAAATGTTTTAATTACTTTACAGAGAGTAAGAAAGAAAGAAAGAAAACTAATAAGATATAACAAAATAACAATAACGAAATATTAGATTGTTTATAGTCGGTTAAAACAAATTATTTTAACACCCAAAATCTACCACAATACTAAAACTGGAGCATGCTGAATATTTCAGATGTGTGAACTTAACTGAATTTATATATACACTATACTGACATTGAGTTTGTTCTTACCAGCTGTGGTGAGTGTGATGATTGTGGAGGACAGAAGAATGAGAACAACACAGCTGTCCATCTCCCTCTGACCTGCACACAGTCTGTTAAACTCAGCAGCAGAACAAGCTTCACCTCCGCTCCCCCCAGAGAGACTGAAGAAACTGAGAGAGAGAGAGAAAGAGAGAGAGAGAGAGAGAGAGAGAGAGAGAGAGAGAGAGAGAGAGAGAGGCTCCCCACAGCCGCCAATCACACTCACTATCACCTTATTAGAAAGAGAAGAGGAAATCATCAAACATTTTCAGTGACAAATCAGAGGAGGCATTTTTTTCTTTCTCCATATTTATCAAAAGAGCGTCAGCGCTGAGGAACAGAACTCCACCTCCGTCTCTAGAGGTGTGTGTGTGAGGAGAGACGCTCACAGCAGTGTGGTGAAAAACACACCAACATACAGGAGACTGACTTCAGAGAGAGGAAACACTCCAGTGTAATACAGCATTAATGCTGCACCTGCAGAGAGCTGATCCACACACTGATAACCATCTCTCTCTCACACACACACACACACACACACACACACACACACACACACACACACTGCTCTGAGTTAGAACACAGATACACAGAAAAACTATTTTATCACTGAAGTATAAACTAACCTAACTTATTCACATGATGTTATTTTACATATTTGATT